AACTTGGTAACTGCCTGTAAACATTTCTGCAAAACGGAATTGTATTTTCTGACGGGTCGGTATTACCAGTCTGACAGGTAACATAGAGTAAATATGTATTCACTAATTGTTGGTGACTAAGGAGCTCTGGTAGTATAGTGGTTACCAGTATGGCCGCCAACCTCAAGGTCAGCAGTTCAAAACTACCAGCTGTTCCGTGAGAGAAATATGAGGCTTTCTGCTCTTGTAAAGATTTACAGCCTTGGAAAGCATATGCAGGGTCGCTGTGAGTCGGAACCGACTCCACAGCACATAACCACCACCACCATAGCATAATAGTATCCCGGTACTATAATCTTTTTTTAGTACATTCAGAATTACTCAGTGTAAAAAAGTAAGATGTACTGTTTATTGATTTATTCAGTAACTATTTCAGTGCCTCCAATACAAGACATTCTGGCAGGTCCTAGGACTCCTAGGGTGGTGCTGTAGGATAAGCACTGGACTCCTAACTTCAACATCAGTAGTTCAAAACTACCAGCTGCTCCTCAGAAACCCTACACAAGGTCGCAATGAGTCTGAAGTGACTCGACAGCACTTAACAACAAGGACACTATAGCAAACAAACAGAAGTATAGGGTTTTTGCCACTGGTTTCTCTAGAACACCTTTAAGATAGTATATCCTCTAGTTTAACCTACCAGGGAGTTTATTTCGATCCCTTTGGTCTATCAAATGGAAGACTTCTCACATAGTATACCTTACACAGTTAGTTTGCTTGTCTACGTTAATGAAAAGGATGGGCTGTTGAATAGCCGAACTGTGGAGAATTTACTTGTCTAATGCCTCCATTACCCAGACTAACACACTCATGGCTTTTGGAAGCTTAGTTCAAAATGTGACCCTATGTAAAAGAAGTAAGGACAGTAGGATGTGACATATATAGTAAATGTATGAATCTTGTACTAAGCTTGATTGTCAGGAAGCGCACTTAGAGAATGGGATTTTAGGTAAAACATGAGTTGTAGTGTATGTCCTTAAATTTAAAATTTGATGCTATAGAATATTTATATATGAAAGTAAAAGAACCCATAGCTTTTTTAGAATAAAGACTTTGAAACATTGTACGCTTAGAGTAGGCTATTCCTGCCTGGCTGATGCATCTATTCACCCCTCTGATAGAAGACCTAGTAGAGAAGTTTTAAGAAACATAAACCATCATACCTGACTTTAGTATGGATCATAGTCCTGCACATGGCCTGCTTTTTCACATATGCTTCCGTAGGATCAGCGCTGGATTGCAAACCACAAAGTCGGTAGTTCAAACCCACTCACTGCTCCTCGGAAACCGTATAAAGGATTGCTAGGAGTCGGAATTGACTCAACAGCACATCACAACAGCACATTTCTATTTCAGCTCAGAATGACTTTCATCAAGATCAATGCATTTCAGGCAATTAAAATACAAATTACAGAGTCATCTGGTGTGATGGCTCATAGCCTTGACCTAACAGTAAGATCACCTGAGGAGCCTTTAAAATGATATTGATGTCTGGGCCCCAACTCAAGAGATTCTAATTGAATTGTTCTGAAGTAAAGCCCAAGCATCATTATCCTTCGAGAGCTCCAGAGGTGTAGCCAGGGCTGAGACTTTGCCGGACTTGTCCGCTACTGTTTTAAATAGAAGTGAACCTCAGGGAAAAGCTTCAGCCTTTGACCGTTATGTATGATGATGTTAGCTGGGGGTTGTTTCTGAATGCCCCTTGATGAAATTCTCTATTTATACTTTGCTGAGTTTTGAATCACATGTGAATTTTGTAAATTAGTTTTTCTGCGGCTTTTGAAGTGATCGTATTGTCCCTTATACTTTCAGTGTGGTTTATCACATCAGTCTTTCATTTCTGGGATAAATCCAGCTTGTTCATGGCATATGATTCCTTTTCTGTGTTGTGAATTTAGTTCGCTAATATTTTTATTTTCTAAAAGAGATTGTGTAAGATTGGCAGTTTGTCTTTCTAAAATATTTGACAGAAGTCAATAAGGAAGCTGTTTGGGCCTGGATTTTTCTTTCTGGAGGTTTTAAAGTTATTAATTCTATGTCTTTACTTCTTATATGTATATTCAGATTTTCTGTTTCTTCTTGAGTCAGTTTTGACACCTTGCATCTTTTATGGAATTTATCCATTTCAAGTAAGTTATCTCATTAGTATAAAATTGTTAATTTATATACCTTTTAATTTCTGTGTGATGATCCTACCTACTTTTATACCTGACTCTGGCAAATTGTGCCTTGTCTTTTTTCTTGGTTAATCCAATTAAAGGTCTTGCCATTTTGTTGATCTCACAAAACCAATTTTTCTATATACTATGCCTCTTTCTCTGATCTTTATTGTTTTGTTTTCTTCTCCTTACTTTGGACTTGAGCTCCTAGTCTCCTAGCTTCTTGATATGAAAGTTTACAGATTTTAAATCTTTGTTTCTTTCTGATAAAAGACTTAGATTAAAAGCTGTACAGTTTTCCCTGGGAGCACAATATTCATTGCATCCCCTCATTTTTCATTAGTTGTATTTTTATTTTCATTCATTTCAAGATATTTTTTCTTGAATTAAAATTTTTTTATTTCATAGCTTTTTCAGGGGCCGCCTCGAGCTGCCTCGCTTAGTGGATCTGGGTGTGTGAGTTGAAGAGTGCTTTCGATGTTCAGCCAGTTTTCAGGCTACTCTAGCTTCTCCTTTCTGCCAGATCCTCTTGAGTCTCCCTGGATGTGTGTGAGTTTCCAGATCAGCCTTGTGTGGAGAACTTTAATCTGGCTTCTCTACAGTATGTCCCAAACAGGACTATGGCCACAAATCAATGGGCTTTCCCCATTCCTTTCCCACTGAGTTTGCTACTTTTCTTGACAATGTTGTATGTTTCCAGGTTTTAGCACACATTGTGTCGGCTCCTTCTAGGTTTTCACACCCAGCCTGTGCTGATAAAAAGATGACTTCCCTCAAGAAGGCCACAGACTTACACTGCTCTCTGGGTTTCCAGGATCCTGAAAAGGTGGTTTTTCTGTAACTTTTCTAGTTTAAAGCTTGTCTTTAGGGGGAGTGGATTTGCCCAGCTTTCATGCCACCTTAGTCAGAAGTCCCTCTCCTGTGTGGCGTCTCCCCCCTCCTCCCCCCCACCCTACCACTTTAGCCAGCAGTATTTGCTTCTACTCCTGTTTTGTTTTGGGTGGGAGGAGGGATGTACACAAGAACACTCAAGAATACTTAATAATTTAAACAACCGAAGGACACATTCTGCAAGCCTGCCTCTTGGCCGCAAGCACTCAGTGTCTGTCTCTTTCCTTGAGTCTTGAGTTCTCAGCTGCTCCCTCTCTCCATGTCCTCATCTCTGCCTCCATCTCTGGTGTCGCTACTTCTCTGGATAGGGTCCCACATGGCCAGTGTGACATTGTTAATCTCATTTTTTTAGGTTCCCATTACTTTGGGCAGCCTTTACAAATATCTTATCTACACCCATTTTTCTCTAGGCCCTGTTCCTGTTCTTTGTTTCATTAAACTATCTCTGAAAGATAGGTTTCAGTGAGAGAAAGACAGACTATATGCTTCTTCTAAGCCAACTTGAGTTATCATGGGAAATACTGACATAGCTGGGCAGCCTGTGTATGGAAGATTTACTAACCAGTACTAAATATCTTACTATGCATGTAAAGAGAAGGGCGTCATCCAAATAGAAGCCTGAATGTGGTTTTTCAGATTTAAGTGTTTTTCAGATTTAAGCAAGAGACCTGACATTCTTGCTGTCCACTTTTTCTTTCCCACCCTCCATCTACTCTTTTGGAGGGGCACTATATTTCACATGAGTAAAAAGTAAAAGGTTAGATGAAGGTACTTCTAAACTTCCTAAATCTCTAACTAGAATAAATGCTTTTCCTCTCAGAAGTATGATTACTCTGTTGTTGGTCATGTCTCCTGTGATTTTCTCACAGGAAAGGGGGATGTTTCAGGCAGTGAGCCCAGGTTGATCTTGATGACCACAGCAGGTTCCAGTGTCTCCATTGGGGAAGGCAAAATTCACTCTGGATGGCTGAGGTGTAGTTTTCCAGTTGGAATAGAAGTGGGATGAGTCGAGGTTCACCCACTCATATTAGGTGTGAGTTAAGACCAAAAAGCTTTATAGCCTCCACTGTTATTGTAAACTGGCAGCCTGTAACAAGATGCTCATGGAAATAAAAAATGTCTGTTGAATATGAAGTTCGTTTGTTTTTTAAGTTGAGTATCTCTTGGGGTTAAACAGCACTTCATTTGATCTCAGGCCTCTTAAATGTGTATAGTCATTAAAGAGATGTGAGTGTTTAAAATGGTAAAAACCTTGTTGCGGTTGTTGTATACTGTCAGTCAATTCTGACGCATACTGACCTTGTTGTTGTTGTTGTTAAGTGCCATCGAGTTGGTTCCGACCCATAGCGACCCAGTACAGGGTTTCCAAGGGGTGTAAATCTTTACAGGAATAGAAAGCCTGACCTTGTAGAACACAGTAAAACTGCCCCATAGAGTTTCTTGGGGAGTCTTGGTGTGGCGCTGTGGGTTAATGCGCTAAACTGCAAAGTCAGATTGAACTGCAGCGTCAGTGGTTCAAGCTCACCAGCCGCTCTTTGGAAACACTACACGGGGTCACTTAGTGAGAACTGATTCAATAGCACTTAACAACAGCAATCTTTGGGGGAGCAGATTTCCAGGTCTTTTCTCCCACTTAGTAATGGCTGGTGGGCTTGAACTGCCAATCTGACCTTTCAATTAGCAGCCAAGCATTTAACTAGTACATCACCAGGGCTCCTTGTTAAAACTTGAGAATTGCCAAGTGGGAAGTTTTCTTACTGCCTCTCATGAAAAGACAAGTTTGGTTGTGGCCTTGCTTGAAATTGTTGTGTTTCTCAGTTAACTACTAGTCAAAGTCAGCTGTGCCAATCTGAGAGGCTGTAGTTTGTGCGAGCAGGTACTAAACAGCATATGATGCCTTGTTGCTTTCAGCAGGAAGGAGAGAGTGATGGCTTTTTCCACCCAGAAGGCCAACCTCAGCGGCTTCCACAGCCCATGGAAGGCAGGCAGCAGCCTGCCCGGAAGGTCACGCTGACTAAGGGGACCCTGCAGCAGCCACAGCACTTGCCAGTGGCTGCCCACATGCACCCAGCTATTCCTCCAGGGATCAAAAATATCCAAGGAATTCACCCAAGCAAAAAGGTACTGTGGATTGTCTGTCTTACTAGAAATGTGAATGTTGTGTGCTGTAGAATCAGCGGTCCTGCTGGTTAAGAAAACTGAATATTTAAATGTTTTCTCTGATAAGCAGTTATTGGCACAGAGTAGTGCTCAAAACAAAGCCAGAAAAGCCATGATTTTCTTTGTTCTGGCTTTGAAAGCTCACCATAGAGCTGCTCCTTTCATGACATTTTAATGGTACCACTGCACTGAATCGTATATAAGCAAGCCCTGCGTTGTTTGCCTGCAACTCGGGGCTGTCCACACAGCCCGAAGCTCTGCTAGCTTCCTGCTCAGACAGGAGGAGCTTAGTTGCACAACACTCAGCATGGGAAACGCTGGCCTGCCTCTGCTCACTCATTCACCATGAGTTCATAATTATTTCCCCAACTTACAGGTGGGACTGCCAGGCTTTTGGAAGTTAACCACTTTGCCCAAGAAAGGGACAGAACCACCATTCCTAGTGGCTTTTCTTGCCGATAGATTAGGAGGTATTGATGATTGGAAGGAATATTTGTCCTTGTCTTAGCTCAGTCAGTTAGACAGATAAGAAGTATGGGAATCCCACCAGACTTCTTTTCTGTGGAGGTAAATAAAATCTTCCCTATAAAGGGAGGATTCATCTTGTTAAATTATTGATTACTGATAGAGCAGCCTTCCCACCCTGCAACATTTGGGGTTTGTTTTTTTGTTTTTTTTTTTTCTTTAGTTTTCCCAAAGCCTTTTGGAATCTGGAGGAGGAACAGGGAAAAACAGCCTAACAACAGCATCTCCAATTGGGGCAGAAGCCAGACACCCCTCATCTTAGTGAATTCTGGCAAAAGTAGAAAGAGGGCAGCACTACCCGCTTTGGGTGTCTTTCCGGAAGCCATTGAAGTCCATAGGTTCCTCCTTTGTGGTCATCTTGTTACCACTACTGTTGGTAACATTAGGACTAGCCTGACTGTCATGGTTTTTATTTTTTTGTTTTTGAAGTATTTAAATTGCTTCATGTATATTCTCGCAGTAACGTGATGTAGGAACAAACAAAACTCCATTTTTGAAGCCACAGACCAGAAGTACAGATTCATTAAGTGCTATCTTCACGTGGAGTCTCTAGAGGTGGTTTCGGTTACGTAGTCTTTATTTGAGTGCAATGCCTTAAAGACTACAGAGCCGTTTGAACTGCAAGGTCGGTGGTTCAAGCTCACCGGCTACTCCTTGGAAACCCTATACAGGGTCGCTATGGGTTGGAATTGACTCGATGGCACTTAACAACAACAGTGCCTTAAAGAACTATGGTAGCCTAGTCGTTAGGAATCGGGCTGAGAACCTTAAGGTCAGCACTTCGAAACTACCAGCTGTTCTGTGGGAGAAAGAAGAGACTTTCTGCTCCTGTAAAGGTTTATAGCCTCTTAACTGACTCCACGGCACATAAACACCATTGAAGTACACATATGTAATAAGTAACGTCCTGTAGTCTTCATCTTAAACCTCAGTTTACTCTCCTATGAAATGAAGGTACTAATGTTTTCCATCTCACTTGTGCTGATGTGAGCATGCTACAAGGAGATACATCTAAAAAGTGTGATACCTAATATGCTTGTACAAGTATGAAAAATACCAAATGCATACAAGAAAGCTTTTGATAGACAGTGTATTATGATTGGAGTCCGGTTGTGGCACTGTAGGATAAGCACTGGTTTGAACCACAAGGTTGACAGTACAGACTCACCAGCCGTTCCTCAGAAACCCTATACAGAGTTTCTGTTAAGTTAGAACATACTCAACAGTACTTAACAATAGCAACATATTATTATTGTTAATATTATAACTGATTATAGTTACAATAGAAGGATAGTTATTTATTACTGGGTTTCCAGCCAATGTAACTCTTAATGTTTACCTCTAATATGGCTTCTTCTTTGGAAATATCCCTTGGCACTTTACAAAAAATGCCTTTACCGGAGTAGCTTTATCTTCTTCAGAGTACCAGAAATGCTGGGATTTGTAGTAATTTCCCTTTTTTGTGGGGCCTCAAGTACTAACATTAGATTTACATTTCTGTGGTCTTTACTCTGTATCTTTCTGTGTGGTGAACTGTCAGGCCACTTTTGTCCCTTTCTGTCCAGATTCTAGGGCAGCATTCCTGTAAGAATATCTAAAAAACCTACACAGTGGCATTGAGTTCCACTCTGACTCTGCGTTACATTAGTGTCCTAAGCTGGAGAAGCTGTTTCAGACCCAGCAGTTGAGCCACATCTGATTTATTGATGAGAAAATACCAGGGCTACCCACTTCAATCGGAGTCCTGGTGTGGGTTACTGAGCCAGACTTGCAAAACCATTTGAACTGCAAGATCGGCGGTTCAAGCTCACCAGCTCCTCTTCGGAAACCCTATACAGAGCTGTGATGGGTCGGAACCGACTTGACGGCACTTAACAATCCATTACAATCAGCTGCCTCCTCGTGTTTTAAGATCCTGGAACATTGGGTTTGAATCCTGGCAATTTCTTAAAATGCAAATGTCTGGACCACACTTTAAACCGGTTAAATCAGAATTTCTGGTTGGTGGGACACAATCCTTGGTATTTTTTTTTTAATTGTCGCTGATTGTAATAGGTTGCCAGAAATGAAACCCTGCATTTCAGGTTGTCAACCTGGCAAATATAAATATACACAAGTGGGATACATATGTTTTGATTTGTGGCTATTAAAATGAAAAGGACTAACGGAAGGGGAATTTAGCCCTGTACAAAATTCCCGAGGTCTCCATTGAAATTAGCTAGTATTGTGCTGGAATTTCAGGACTGGATTGGAATCCTTACTTGAGTGAGTTAATAATCAGTGTCTTTACACTGTAAACTGTTTCTTCACCTACAAAATGGTGACAATATATGAAATGCCTTTGTGGGATAATTGCCTGGCACCAAGTGTCATAGAAGTGTGAAACATTTCTATTCCATTCCTTTCCCTACTCCTGAATTAGCTGAGTGGTTGCTTGGTTGGTTTGCCTCTCCTGAATATTCTTCCTTTTTTT